TACATCTCTGTCAACTGTCTGAATAAAGGACACTGAACACCAAGTTAGTCTGTATTTCACTATCATCAGCAGCTTACCAGGATAAAGCATTGACTGATGCATCTGATAGCAGCTCCAATCATACTAATGGCAATACCATTTTAATATATAGCATTTATACAAGTATAACGTTGTTTTACAGACACTGAGAATCTGCTTCTGACCTTTACAAGTAGTATTGTACTTCCTAGACTTTTGTACTTATTTTCTATATCTGGATATACCTAATATATCCAGAATTGTGGATTTAATATATGCTATGAATTGTAGCACTGGGATACCTTTTGTCCCATAAGTTAGTTGAATTTACTCCTCGTATTCCCCAGATTGCATAAAGTTTTGAGTAATACCCTATTAGATTATATTTTTCTGATGATGCATCACACTAAATCATCATCTGACTGATGGTAATGTAATGGGAATAACATATTAACATAATTTATCATCCCTGTACCTTGCTCAGGGGATTATTTTACTTTATCGTATAATATATTGGTTGTCTCTTCCATGATTCATTACAGTAAGACATCAACAGAAGGAAACATTTTGATGAAGTAGTACTTGGATACTTGGATATTGTGGAAATTACTTGGGTACTCTGGATATTGTGCTTGGATACTTGGCTATTAGGAAAAATTTCTTCATTGAAAGGCTTTTCAAGCACTGGAACAGGGTGCCCAGGAAAGTGGTTGAGTCACCATGCCTGAAGGTATTTAAAAGACATGTAGATGTGGCACTTAGGGGGATGGTTTAGTAGTGGACTTGGCAGTGCTAGGATTATAGTTGGACTCTAGAATCTCCAAGGTTTTTTAAAACCTAAATGATTCTATGACTCTGTTTAACAGTAGAGACTATTACCGGGGGATGAACAGCCCTCAGGGGTACTTTGTTTAGCAGAATGGTCTAATACAAAGGTAAGAAGATACACAGCATAATGAGACATGTGATTATTCTCTGACACCAGATTTGCCACTGGTGCTAGATCAGCTGTGGTTTATCTTGGAATAGTAATTTATCTGAATTCACCAAAAAGCTTCGAAGTAGCTGAAACTTGTTTTGACATTTCAGAGTGCCTCTATAGATAAAAAAAAAGCCTGTATGCCTATTTCACTATAAAAACTTACCAGAATAACAAAAAATTAGGAGGTTTTGTGTTGTATATACATTTTTTAATTTAGAAATATTAATTTAGCAGACATAGGCTGGAAAATGACATCTTTTTTAACCACAAAATCATTGAGAAGCAGCCATTTAAATAATTTTTAGCATTCAGGCTTCATGCAAATTAAGCCTATGCATCTATCTAAGTTATGGCAAAGCTGGCCAAACTCCTGCCTTCAGACACAGATCCATGGCAGTTGTGTTTACATGGCCAGCTCACATAATATGAGTGCCGCTTCCGCAGGAAGTTCCCTTTTGTGTTATAACAAAACATATGCGCTGACATTTTTCTTTTTCTCAATCATCTCTGTTACACTTGCATACTGAAAATGAATATATGCATATATGCTTATATATACAGGAAATGGATTTACAGAACTCTTCTCGTGGGCAAGCAAAGCAATATGCATTCCAGCAGGCAGCTCTAGCACAGCTGTGCCTGCAGCATCTGAAGGTAAACTCTTTCAAGTAATAGCACTGGGTAAGAGAGTAAATCAAAACCATTCAGCAGAACTCAATGACACTTTAGGAAAAAGCATTTTTCTCCTTTGTCTGTGGATAGATGACAATTTACTCTTTTGCTCCCCTTGATTTCTGATTATGACCTTGTATACTTAGGGAAATTAAAGCCAACTACATTTGGTATCACTCAAGTATGAAATTATAGAATACTAAAGCCTGGTTTTGATTCCTTATTTTTAAGATCTGTGTAAAGTGCTAAAGCTGAAGCCTATCTTCAAAAGCAGAAATTCATAGCACTTCAAGAGCCAGAAAGCTAATCAAAACACCACCTATTTTAACACTCACAACAAAGTGGTGTATATTTTACAGTACGTGCATCCCTTCATTGCTTGTTTCAGCGTAGACTGGAAAATTTCCAGATTGGACTGGTGATCATTTTCAGTAATTCCCAACAACCCACTGGGTCTCTTTAGTTCCAGTGAAAGAACTGAAGAACTTGAATCTTGCAAAAGATGGGTATCATACTTACACCTGGTAAAACCAGTGGTATCAAGATGAAAAACTTGTCAGGTAAACACAGTGTGCACCAATTTTACCCCATCAAAACCAACACTGAAAAGAAGCCACCATCCCTTATCAGCAAGTTCCAGAACACTACTCAATTTATTCAAGGTACAAGAGAGCTCACTAATTACAACCTCAAGAATGTGCTTTAGGAAATTGATCTAGATGAGCCACCTATCCCCCTTGACAAATTTCCACACCTGGAAAGACTCCCTGGCACACTCTCTGAAACCTTCCCAATGACTAGAGCATCAATATCTCCACAACATGTATTCTTATGACTAATATAAGGTAGATTAGGCTGCACTTTTGGCATAACTCAGCCTACTCTAAAAAAAAAACCCAAAGCAACACCCTTCATCCCTAATCATTCAATCACTTACAACATAAAAATCAATTAAAAGGAAAAATCAGACATAAAAATGCAGTATTTTCTTCCTAGGATAAGATGTAGCATTCGGAAAGGAAGCCTTTCACTGCTCTTTCCATGTTGTCTTTCTCTGCAGAACCCCACTGGACATGCACAGGACACTCACTCACTCACATGGTCATTCTCTTGGTCGTCACTTATGTGTTCACTAGTCCCTCATATTTTAGTGCTTTGATTAAATGTTTTTCTCTTCACAGCCATACCTCTGTTGTGCTACAAGTGATCTTTAATTTGGAAACTTTTGCTGTTTCTGTAATAAAAGTGGGTGGTAGAGATCTTTGGCTTTTCAGTTTATGCACTATTGCTTCTGCCGATTTATCTTGCCTGAACAAAAGTACATCTCCTGTCTTAACCTGCCTGGAGTCATAGGATTCAATCCAACATGTTTACCTCTTCTTCCATGGTTTTCGGCATTATTCTTAGTGGCAGTACTTCATTCCTTTTCACTTTCTCTGTTTACAGAGGAGATTCAATTGCAGCTGGCTTTCTAGCCAACCCCACACAGACAGAGGTTCCCTTACTTTCCCCAAACTCTATTTTTTTGAACCGCATGTTTTCCACTCATGATCTCACTTCACAAAACTTCATTTTGTCTAAATGAATTTCTTGAGGGCATGCTCTCGGACTTTTTAGCTCTCCTTTCCCATTTCATTCACAGTTTGGAACTCCAACAAACAAAAAAACCCAAGAATAGGAGGAAAAATAAGTCTTCAGCTTCTCATGGACATTTAGAATTAATGGAAGCAATGGGCTGGTCATTTTTTTCCATGTGTATTGCTTTTTGCAATATACACAAACATTGTGTTCATGGACTAAAGCCATGATACTTCTTTGCACATTCAGTCTTTTTAAAGTACTTCAAAAATCTATCAGTTGTTTTAAGATATTCAGCAGTGAATATGGACAATTGCTGCTGCATTAAAAATGTCTACCAAAAATAAGCATGAGGATATTTAAATAGTTTTGTTTATTTTAACATTCGAATGTTGACAAGCTTAGGGTTGAAACTGCCTTCTTTAGATTCACAGTAATCACAGCAAATGTACCATACAAAAAATACTGAGTCAGAAAAACAAGCTTGTTTTTGTATTGTTCCCCAATTGTCTTCACAATTACATAAAAGCCTGTAAAGCATTTGTTTGAGGTATGCTGGCCAATAATGATTTTTCCAAGCACTGTAACCAAATGAGGAAAGTTGTTTTTCACACTTCGTATTTTATAAGTATTTCTAAACCCAAGAAGTGATTTTGCTGAAAGTCATTAAACATTAAAATGGTGCAATAATACTGCTCGGCCACTTTGCTTTTCAAAGTGCTTTACAACTCATAACTAATTATTCTCATGGCAACCCTCTGAAGAAGCTACTATGTCCATTTAACAGTAGGAAAAAAAGACAGAGGTTGAGGACTGTCAAATATGCTGAATACCTGCAACTCCCATTGGCAATAACTAGATTTCTGTTACTGACAGCAGGCTGTAAATTATTTATGATAGGTAAAACTGTAAGGTAGAAGAATCTCTGAATCTCTGAGAGAAAGTTTCAGTTTATGCAGCTGTTGGTTTCCTGGGCTGTGTCTTCATCTCACAGTGAAGAGCACTTTACAGTTGAATTTGTACTTAGAAAAATGGAAGAACAAATTAACAGTCAACTGCCATGAATGCTTATAGAGACATCTTCCTCTTCTGTAGTCTGTTCACTTCAGTAAAAAAATCAACAAACAAATTCTGAAGAATGAAATAATTATAGACAAAGCAGAACCAGTTCTATTTTGGTATAGGAAAATAAAAGTTATTCTCACAGTATGAACCTCACCAGGAAAGGATGAAATATCAGCACAAGAAAAGGTACTACCTTTAACAATTCCACCGTGGAGCAGTCTTTACAATGCTTACCAGTCCCAGCATTATATTCCACATACAACTGAGAAATGTTGCCAAAGGTATGAAGCAGCAATAACATATGTAAGTCTCCAGACTGTTATTAAACAGTGACTCATATTCAATGTAATAAATCAAACCTTTTCCTCAGTGCGATGCTGTGGTGCATCTCCTGAAGTACAGTGGTGTTGGTCTCTGATCTCTGATCTTTGTAAACACTACAAAGCCAGCAGAAAGATATTTAACCTCTAAGAACACACAATCTATTCTATTTTTCTTTTTTTCAGTTTAGCTCAGAAGATCAGAAAGTAAGCTAATAATGACTCCTCTTTTGTTATTCAACTTGCATGCTAACTTTCATAATGAAATTTGGTTTCATATTTTAGGCTTGCAGTCATATTTTTTTATTTTTTATTAAATTTTGTTTCTCTTATTATGAATTTGATTAAACTCACATCACCACTACTAAGCTGCAGGAACAAAATGTTGGCTTTAATGTGTTGCTCTGGGACTTGTCATCAAGCCAAGTTCACAGATGTTCAATGAACACATGGCATTTGGTCCATTTCTAGGATAAACATCATGGTTTACTTTATCTACAGTGTCACAATCCTGTATAAGTAAGCAGTAAGATCAGTTAAGTCCCCTCATCTACCCTTTCTATAGCTCTATACTTTTGATAAATTGACATGAAGCAGGAAGCAAGAGTAGCATACGCAAAATTAGGGAAAGGGGAGAAACCCTGTGGTCTTCATGCCTGATCACTAAATATTTTCTTGTTTGAAGATTCCTTTGTAGTCTTGCCTATTGTGACAAGATGTACATTTTCTTATAAACAATGAGATAGGTATTTATACTCAGAAGCAGAAAAAACTGTGAAATTATATTTAGTACTGGGTAGAAGTGAGATGATTGTAATGGCTCTAAACTGTGTGAATAGCCCGCCCAGAATCCTCATGAGGTCTTACCAACTTCTGTTATGTCTGAAAGATATTGGCCTATAAAAACTTAATAGGACAGAAAATCGGGATTTGGTATTTTGGAGCACTCTGACATAAAAAAAAAAAAAGAATACATGTGCATACATGAAGAAATTGTTCATAAGCAATAAACAGCTAGCTCCATGGACACATTAGCAACACAGCAACTGCAAATAAAATGCTTATG